TACAGTGTACAAAGTCGTTTTCTTTTTGTACATTAATGAAAATAGTCAGATTTTACTTAACATATTACTATAGCTATGTAAATTAACAATATTATCGTAAGTAGTATAAACCATTTTGTAGTAAATATAGCTAATACATATATTATTACTACTTTCTATGTATTATTATAATTGTACATTTATTCATATTTAAAAATTGTTGGTTTATATATCTTTTGCCAGAATTATATTTGATGAATATATGAATACAGCTATTAATACCAAGTAAGTACGTATACATATATTGTTATGTATGCACCTATATCGTGCTGTTACTGATTACGATTGACCCTAAGCTATATGTAGCTTAGGATCTGTTTATAGTCTTTATAGCTATGTAAATAAAGATTATTATAAAAAAAACTAAGCTGTACTTTCTCTCCACAAGAGGCGCTACAGTTCCTAAATCTGCTGACATCTGCCCAATGCAGAGTCGCCTAAAAATATTAATTTTGGCAAAACTAAGTCATAAAACAAAGTTACGGAATTGTTCAAAAGAATTTACTATGTCGATATCGTATACAAAAATAAATGACAATATTATAAAACGTAATTAATTGCTCTTTGAGGAAGAATTTAATAACGTTGGATAGCGCGGCGATATTTAAAATGGAATTCCGTATGCTATGAAATGATGTTTCACAGATACACACTATTTCATTAACAAAATATTACTACAAAAATTATTTGCAACAATTATGTGCAAATGATACTAACATATTACGATAAAGTTACATAAAAGAAGTATTTTAGAACATACGTAGTAGAAACGTATTAACATGGTTTATGAAAAAATTAACAGAAACCTGAATTCATGGAAATACTTCTATGATTCTTAAGAGACTAAAAAACTATAACAATAATAAAAAGTATCATCAAAGTTAGTTTCAAATTTTACTTTCAAGCTACTATTTGAAAATTATAACCAAGCGCCTCATAGGTCACTTTTTTGCCTCGTTAGCAATTCTATTTCAATTTTTTGCCTTAAATCGGGTTCGTAAACATTGAACGAGCACTACTGTATTTTTTATATTTATAATACTTATAGAATTCTTAGCAATGTACAATGGAAAATAAATAAAAACGTTGTTTTTTGGTTGTATTAAAACAACTATTTTTTTACATTTATTCAATTTTGTGGAATAAGCAAATTACTACTAGGACGTAACAATTGAGTATTTTATACAGTTTCGTTGAATCGATTGAAAATCAGTAATGCATAATTAATACTTTGAAATATTTAGTGCAAAAGACATA